CCAGGGCTTGGTGCAGCCTCATTCCCACCAGGCCCTCCCTGCATAGGAAGGAGGAGAGCATAATCACCGGCTTCCCCTCCCACAGCGATGGGATTCCCAGAGGCCTCTTGCTTTCCGTGGGAAACCTGGCTCAGCATGAGCCCTCAGCCCCAGGTCATGGGATCTCAGGGTCCAAGCCCTGTGGAGGGAAGGAGTCCCAGTTCTCACAGTGCCAGGTCCCTCTTCTTTATTTAGGTTGATCTCTGAGACTCCAGTCGCACTCAGGGACATCGCTGGGTGAACCAACCAAACAGGTTGTGGCGGTGGGGAGGATGTGGCTCAGCAGCATGGTTGGAAGGAAAGGAAGGGACGCCTCAACTGCTCCAGGAGAAGGCAGTTCGGCCCCCCAGCGCCAGGCTGCACCCACCTGTCTCCTGGTGTCCCGGGCCTTGCTTCACTCATGTTGAAGCTTTCACGCATGGCTGGGGCCTCTCAAGCACTAACTTGAGGAAGGAAGATGGCAGCAGCTTTGGTAGGAGTGCCAAGACCTCAGAAGGAAAAGGGGTTGGAGAAATAGCTCTACAGAGGCCTGAGTTAGAATCCTGGCTCTTCCACTTGTTGGCATGTGATGCTGGACAGGTCACCTACTTTTCCTGTGTCTCAATTCCATCCTCTTTAAGATGGAGATGATAAAATCTCCCTCACCTCCATCAGGACTAGATGTAAAGATTAAACGCGAAAATACTCAGTACCCAGTAACTGCTGAATAAGTACTCATAAAATAAAGGTTGGGGACATGATTACAGACTTCCTGCATGTAAAGAACAATGTCCATGTCCATAAAGGAAGAAGTTGGCAAACGGACTTCTTATGAAAAAGGAGATTTCAGCTAGATGCAAAAAAAAGACTGTTGGCTGTCAGGATTATCAACTCTGTAGTGAGCCTTAGGAAGGTCACAGGGTCTCAGCTCTGGAAATATTCAAGAGAAAAGATGGACAAATGTTCTAGGTGGGGCTTTTCACCTGCCTGGATATTTGGAATGTTTGGGATTCTCTTCTGGCTTTGGGAATGGGCTTCTCTAATAACCACGGAGAATAGTCCTCTAGTTTCTATGGCTAATAACTGCCAGCCTACAAATCTCTGAACAATATTTCTTCATTTTTCTTTAACTAATTATGGGCTATTCCTTCTGAAAGATACATGGCCCCAATCTTAAGATGCCTTTAAGCTCAGTGCATCGCTGATAAAGGAAATGTTCATTTCAAACTCATTCATTCCTTCATTCATGCAATTCCAGATGTGGACTAGTCTTGTGCTTAACGCTGAATTACAAAAGTGAACTGTGGCTTCCTACACCTGCCTTCCTGGTCAAAGAAGGAGGGTCCACAGTGCATGAGTCCCTTTTCCAGAACACCTGCCAGTTTTAAAAAGAAACAGAAGCTCTCCCTAAGAGGAAATGGAACTTGTAACTTACAATTTTAGCAACTGCATACATGCAAGACCAGTGTAGCTGCCTTAATTCAGCTTTCCCAGATGAATGAGAATCCATTCCAACAGGTCTGCTTCAAGGCTGGGGAATAAAGTGGGGAGAACAGATGGGGCTTGTGAGGAATATTCAAGTTAGCTCAATGACTTTCAAACAAGGGAATTAAACCTTGCTCTAACCGATACATTGAGGCAGGTTCTTCTCAGTGTCACACCAGTTGGCACAGCCACTCCTGAAACCTTCAGCCACTAAATCAGTAACGGGCCAGAAGGAGCCAGCCCGTGACATACTATCTCCTGGCGTAACTTCCTGCGAGCATGTCTTCTTTACCACATGGAGCCAAGATTGTATCTAACCCACCCCTTGTGCCAGATCATTGCACTTGATACATATGCATGGAATGAACAGACGAATGGCCAGGTTCCTGGTTTTCAGGCAGAATAACGTCAGATCATCTAGGAAGAATAATGGGTAAACCTTACTGTGTATCAAGTACCATCTCAGTGCTTTAGAAATACTAACCATTTAACTCACAGCCATTCTATGAGGTAGGCACTGTTGTTACCATCATCCCCACTTTACAGATGAGAAGCCAAGACTTTAAATAACTCTTCCTAAGTCACACTCTAAACAGCAGAACCAGGATTTGGACCAAGGTCCTTTGGCCCCAGTTTCTGTGTATTTAGGCATCATGCTGGGCTGCCTCCCTGAAGAACCGGCTCTGTTCTGTTCTTGAAAAGATCCAGGGACACAGAAGGATTATGCCCATCACAGAATTCATCATCCTGAGAGTCAAAATCTGTCCTTGAATCTCGATGAAGCTTCTCTGGCTTTAACGTTAACCTCATCTATTAATTTATTCTGTGCATGTTTTGAGCTTTCCTTGTTCTTCCATAAACAAAAAAACCTTTTGTATTCTTAAAAATAGGCATTAAGCCACAATTTTGACTTCTCTTGTATATGTAAAAACTCCAGTCTGTTTGATTTTTCTTACAGAACCCAATTTTTATTCCTCAGTCTTATTCTCTTTATCTCTAAACTTGCTCTAGAATGTAGACTAGAAAAGATTCCTGTACGTACTTTTCTTGTTATAAATCCCGTCGGAAAGCAACGGGGCTGTCTCATGTGTTCGACTTGTGGTTCTGATGGCAGATCTTATCCCTCTACAACACCCCGGCTGGGACAGTTCCTCCCTACCCTTTGGGTGAGCGGGTCTTTTGCACCTCAAGTTTACTTTCTACTTGAATTTGGGTCGGTGTTACTGAATTTCATCCTCTTTGTGAATTTGTGATTTGTCAAAGTCGCTTTTAAATTTGATTCTCATCTTCCAGAGTACTGGCAACCTCTCCTCATTTATCATATCCCTTTCTTCTCAGCTGCTCAAAGTAGTCACTGAAGGAGTTTTGGAAGAATTCCCCCTTGTGGTGTGTCTAGGATGATACATAAACCCCCAGATAACCCAGGTGGCACCATAGTTCCCTATCCCGTGACACGGCAACATGCCCAGAGGAGGGGCATCCATAGTGTCCAGATAGCAGCAGCCGAGGGCACTCTGGAGGGCCTTGAACTTCTGAGTCACACCTACAGGCAGCAGGAGTAGTATTGCCCAAGCCCAACTCTACCCCAACTCAACCCCACAACTCTAAAGCACATGGCCCTGTTGATCTCAGGTGTCTGTGATACAGTCTAATTTGTGATATAATTCAAAGCATAGATGGAAAAATCACCCAGCGGACTGCATCTCTGCAGGAAGGGGCTGCAGGGCCTGAAGACCCTCTTCTCCACTAGCAATAGCTGGGCTTTCCTGGTAACAAGGCCTGAGGGGGCCGCGTGTGAATCTTCTGAGTTAGCAACATTTAAAGCGAGTACACCCACTCAAAGCACTGCTAATAGGATGCATTTGTCTGGAATGGATTAGAGATGAGGAAGTGCAGAGAAAAACCTTTGCTAAGAGGCTTCAAATAGCTGAACAGAGGCTTGAGTGCCTGAAGAGAGGAGGGGCTTGCTAAACAGAGGCCACAGAAAGAGGCTCACATTGGCTGGGCCCACCCTCCCCACTCTACAAAGAAAGGGCAGTAGCCATACTGAATTCCTAAGCAGTCGGTGAGTTGCTTGTATGGAAGGTAAACAATTCAGGCCACAAATTCAGCTATGCAAGAAATATAACTTTATTTTCTAGAGCTGAACTGAAATTTTACCACTGGATGGTAGAAACTGGGTCTGACAATTAATGGACCCCGCACTCTTACTCCACCATCCCTAGGGGTCCATTGTCTTGTGGTTTCCTGGGCATAGACGATGGAGTGCACATCTGGTCAAGGTCATCATCATTGTCACCTATCCACTCTGGCATCTGCAGAGAAGTCTGTCATTCTGTCTGGCCTGTAGCCCTTGTTCCAAGCAGGTCGCCATTGGTCTCCCCATCCCAGCTGCAGGACTTCTTCAGATCTGCCTGCCCTCTCAGCGGCGTCCGTGGTCCTCAGAACCACAGAGAACTCGGCGGGACCTCCTGACAATTTTTCCGCCCTAGTGATCCTGCCCTGGGGGTTTTCCAGGAGATTCTGGAGTCTTTCCATTTTCCTGAGCTTCATTCTGAAATGAGGCATGGGTCCCCCATGCTCTGGGATTCTCTGAAGCTGGGGAGTTTTTGCGTGTGGACGCATAGGCTTGCATTCGTGCACACGCACACGTACACAAACACACACACAGGCACAGAGCTTATTCTCAGAGACTCTTCAGAATCTAAACTCTTTGTTTCTGGTGGGGAGTGGGGTGGGGATGCTGAGGCTTTGGGGTATGCTGTCTCTTACTAAACATTCTTTCAAAATTCTTGTTTATGGCATAAATTTTATTCTCCTAGTCCTTAAAGGCTTAGGCTTTTAAAGCTAAAAAAAATGCTCTTGAAGCTCGCAAGGCTTGTCTCTGCTTTTCTCATGAATCATCCCTCCCCTGGGGGCAATGAATGCTGCTGACTGAATAGGGGGAGGGCAGAGCAAACGAGGAAATGAGGAGGGAGGGAGGGAAACCCCATTAACCATCTCAAAGCTATGAAACCAACTGTAAATCAGAAGCTCACTCAGTTTGAAGATTTTAGGAATTCCAGGTTGTAGAAAACTAAGGGTCCAAGCTTCAATGTTCTTGGTCCACAGAACTCTGAGATGATTGAGAAATTTCAAGAGATGGCACAGAGCTCTGAGAACCAGACAGGAGTCCCTCTGTTCTGGGATTGCGCCTTCTGACTCAAGGCTGCCCAGTTTTCACATGCAGACTAGTAAATGGAGCTTGGCTTTCAGTTAAGAACCAGCCACTTCCTATGAACTTTGAATTTTTCTTTATTCAAATTTTTTATTGTTTCCTTTGAATATGCTGCTTTGTAGCTGGAGTTCTCATCTGACTCGTTTTGTAGAATAATCCCGTAATTGAGGGTATGCACCAAATGGCCTAAGAAACCCTCATGGAAAAACCACACTCTGCTCTCCACGTTAGAAGCTGTGTATGTGCCAGGGTTACTCAACCTTCTTGCATCCTACTTCAGATGGCTACGAGTTCCTGGAGATCCTGAAACAGGTTGCCCGGGACAATACCGACAACCCTGACCTGAGCATCGTATGGATTGACCCGGATGACTTTCCTTTGGTGAGTGGCTTGGACCAGGGCACCATCCTTGGTCACCTTCACAGTCTCATGTTTAGGTTTGGCGTGAGATCCTGAAGCATGAAGGAGGATGTGCACTTGCAGAAACACAGTGGCTACCCCCATCCAGTGTAGGAGATCTCGGCCACAGGGGCAACACTGAATTTCAGGCCTGGTGCCGACACTGACATGGTTAGACTTATCGTCCTCACTCCCTGGAGACCAGGAACCCCTCTGAGGGGCCCACTCAAGTGAGCTGGGTGAAATTCTTCTGCCAGCAGCTCCATAGCTGCTCCTCATCCCACTACTACACTGGCTAGAACCTCTTTCATGTTCTGGGTAAGGACCACCATTCTGAGGCAACCTGAGTTACTAAGTGATAAAAACCAGACATGAACATTTTGTGTAGAGTTAAGAACTTCATGGAGAGAAGGAGCAACCTCTTGGAGGGCAGAGACTCTGTCTTGTTCATCGCGTTCTCCCAGGTCCTGGCATAGTATCTAGCACATGTTGAATGTGCAAGAACCTCAAAGTCCAAACTCTTGCTAGTGTCAGTGACCAATGGCCAGAAAGCCTTGATTGTGCTTAGTATTAAAGAGAATAAACAGAATTTGTACAATACCCGGGCCCAGTGGTAATGATAATGAATGCAGCTAATATACTCTACTGCATGCCTGGAACTGTAGGAAGTTCTTTACATGCATCGTCCCATCTAATCCTCTCAACAACCCTATGAAGCAGGTTCTATTATAACCCCTGTCTTACAGGTGAAAAGAATGGCAGCTGGAGAGTTTAAAGTTAGTGAGTGGTGGATGTGATATTCCCACTCGGGTCTATGTGACATCAAGGCTTTGTCTATTAGTCAGTAGACTTTAGATTGAGCTAACTGCTGGTAATCAGTACAAGTTGAGTTATCATTAGGTTATAAATGATAACTCTATCTTCTTCCAGGAATTATCATTTGTTGCATAGGTCACTACTGATCATACCATGATTCAATAGACAAAATTGAGGGGTTTTAGTGAACTCGAGGGTCCTGAAACCCAATCCTACATGCAGGGTGAGTGAATCAAAGTCAGAGATTTCCATGACCCCTGAGGCCAATGTCGTAATTCTGGGTAACAATAACAAAGTTTGGCCTTAAGACCCTATATACAGTAGTGTTTAGTTAGCCTCTGTCTGGTTATATTTCTGATTTATCTGGACTGTTTTGTTATGCAAGCTTGCAGATGGTCTGCAATTCTCCTGACCTGTTCTATATGATTGCCTTGGTTTTTGCAAAGGAGACTGTTCTGATTTCCAGGTTCCTGACTATCCCCAGTCTCCATCAGGCCATATATTTGCTTGGGAGAATTTCTACCACTGAACATCTCCATTTTCTTAGCCCTGTGGCCCCTTACTCCTTTAGTCCTTCCCAAGTCAGAGATTAGTCCACAGGGAGCCCAAGCCTGGCTGAGTGAAGAAGCCGTCTTCTTCCTTGTATGCCAGTGTATGGCACATCGCTGCTTTCCCAGCCGTCTCATGTAGCAGAGTGGTGCAAGGTAAGGGATTTTTAAATTGGACGTTGAAGGAGAGGTAGAGGGAAATGGCTCTTTCACCACACATAAACTATAAAAGAGCCACAAGTAATTTGGGAATCAACTTTGAACCATCTCTGTAATATTCTTCCTTACAGCTGGAGAAGCTTTCATAGCACCTGTTTTCATAGTTAGTGTTATGACATCTTTTTTTTTTTTTAATGCTTATTTAAAGTGTTTGAGGGCTGGGGCCAAGTCTTCAATTTGTTCAGTGTCCACAGCTGTTTTGGAAACCTTTAACCAATGGTGACCTAATTACTCTGATGGGATGGCAGGTGGGTCCAGCCACAAAAAGTGGCTTTAACAGGGAGTGCCTTCTGCCTGCTGTCTCATTTTAATTTTTGTTGCTACAGCTTGTTGCCTATTGGGAAAAGACTTTCAAGATTGACCTATTCAAGCCACAGATTGGGGTGGTGAATGTGACAGATGTGAGTACACCCCATGAAAGCTTTCTCAGGCACCCTCAGCCTGCCCTGTTTGCTGCCATGCAACCCACACTGTGAGATTGAGGCAGCCAGCCCCTCGGGAAATGAGCAGGACCCTTCATCCTGCCCGAGCTCAGGAAACATGCCAGTGTGGCCCAATCCTAGTCTCTGAGCCAAGTCCAACCTATGGTTCCATGGCTTTCTTCCATGGGTATATTTCCTTGCTTATGGGGCCACCCCAACCTGGTTCATTGACTATTTGGAACTTTTCACCCAATTAAACACTCCTGTTATTTTACCCCAAAGCCCAACAAGAAAGTCTCTTTACACAAGGGAACCCACACCTGGAGTTGCCATTGCACAGGTGATGGGGCAACTGTGACCCGGAAGCCCATGCAGGCAATCACCATTGTGTGGAAATATATATATGAAGTTTCTGGTAGGATAGCCATGAAACTACCACCAATGGCTCCCTCAGGGAATGGGACTAGAGATGGGTCAGGGCAGTGGGAAATACTTTTGCTTTTTTACCTTATATCCTACTGTTCTGTTTTAAAATGTTTTAACTTGAAAAAACTTTAAAAATCACTATTATTATTATTATTATTAATTATTATTGTTGTTATAAATTTAAGAAGTAGTTTACAAAATAAATGTAGAATCCTCCAGGTGATTCAACATCTACCAACAGGGTAAAAGAACATTGTTAACTGGCTATATATACATACATACACACACACACACACACTCACAATGGAATATGTGTATATACATATACACACACATACACAATGAAATATACATTTTCTTTTATACTGCACAAACAGGCTACTCTACATACCATTCTGCAGGTAGGGATTTCCTTTTAACAATGTGCACACATTCCTATTAACTGTAAGTAACCTGGGGCCCACTCAGCACAGCTACTCAGCACCCTCTGGTCTGGCTCCTCCTTCATGAATTCATTCGTTAGCTCATTCTGTCCCTCGTTGCAGGCTGACAGTGTCTGGATGGAGATTCCAGATGATGATGACCTGCCCACAGCTGAGGAGCTGGAAGACTGGATTGAGGACGTGCTTTCTGGGAAGATAAACACTGAAGATGATGACAATGAAGATGAAGATGATGACGATGATGATGACGATGATGATGATGATGATAATTCTGATGAAGAAGATAATGATGACAGTGATGATGATGATGAATAGCCCCAACTCCAAATGATTTTGTTGAAAACAAAATCACAGCTACCCACTACCTTACAGACAGCACAAGGTGGCAGCAGGCAGCCTTGGCCCACGCCCAGCCAGCTCCTTTCCCTTTTCCAACCTCTCTTTTCCCACTCCCTTCTCATCAGGAGATGTGCAGTTCAGCAAATGCCTTTCTAAATCCTGCAATTCCACTCAGCAAAGACAAGTGGGGGGAATTATTCCCATGTTGACTGTCTTGATTGTCATGAAACAGCTCTTGTTCTTTGCCGGACCATCAGCGGTCATGGCAGTGTGGTATCTGGCAGTCTGGGGAGAAAACGCCCCTAACGCCTCTACTCAAGTTTACTTGTTGTCTTTGACCATGACCGTAACAGAATTGACAGCTTGCTAACTCACTAGCATGGAGTGACCTTATAATCAGAGCCCAGGGAAGACACACAATCAATCCATTTAGCCCCCAAGCCTAGAACATCAGTTAGGATCCCTCCTTTAGATAAGAGGCTCTCTCTTAGGGAAGGCTCAGCCTTAGAAACAAGTTTATAAATCTGCTTCTTTTGGCTCTATTAAATGTATCATTTTAAGTGTAGGTCAGACTATTATGAACTCAGATCTAAGCCTTGGATGGCTACTGAGAGGCCTTGAAACACATGTGTACAGATGTCACCATCATTTGGAGTACATTAGGATACTTGGATGGGAGCTTGATCTGCTCTCTGAACTTCCCTCTTGGTGACAAGTCTTGCATATACATGGGGGTGGAGGGAACTGGAAGGATTAAAGGTTTTTAATTATTTCTGATGGCTTCATGTCTCTGATTGTGTCAGCTGGTGTCCCGGCCTGAACCGGGATCTGGACACCCCTTCTCTGTCGCTGCTAGCGAGCCTTCCCATTTAGAGGAAAGGTTGGTTTACGCAGAGGTCAGTTAACTCTCCATTCATCAGCACTCCCACAGTTGAGCAGGACAACAGTAATGAGTGTTCGTAATGATGCCTGAGGCACTGAAGACATCCCCAAGTGCCTTTCAAACTATTTAAAAGTTATTTTGTGCTCGGCAGTTTTAGTGTTGAGTGTGCATTATAACGTTCTAATTTATTTTCTCAATCTTTTAACACGTGTAAGACATTGCAAATTCCTTGAAAATAGGGCAGTCCTTTTGTGGAGTAGTAGCTAACTAACTCTGTCATTAAAGTCCTATTTTGAAAATATGAGACTATCTTGAAAATCCTCTCTTGACTTTTCTCATGCTGCTCGTTCTCTCTCGGCTCCCATTCTACCTCTCTGTTCCTGCTCCGTTTTCCTTTATGGCCTGTCTTCCTCAGCCTGCCCTTTAGCTGTTAGTGTTTCACAGTCTCTCTCAACTCTAACATTCTTCCAAGGTGCCATTACCCAGGCTCATCAGCTACCACCTAGGTGCTAATGACCTCCAAGACTGGGTCTCTAACCTTCACCACTTTCTTTAGTTTTATACTCACTCATTCAGCTGCTTCTGGACATCCTGGTTTGGGTGTTGCACAAGCACTTCAAACAACATAACAAAACCCAAACTATTACCTTCTCCCTTAAACTCTCCTCCTCTTCTTCATGGAGTCCCAGTTTGGATGAGTAATATCACCATCTATCCAATGGCCTGGGTGACCCAAGGAGGCCCCTTTCCTCTCTGCTCCCATGGCATTTGGTGTATACCCCGAATCATTGCACTTATTTAAATTGTAACACATATTTGCACGCCTGTCCTTTCACTAAATTGTAGGCTCCTCAGAGACAAGGAATTTATTTATCTTTATATCCTCAGGACCTCGCACTTTGCTCAGCACAAAGTAGATAATCATTTATTGCATTGATGGGTGAATAATTGATTAATCAGCACTGTTGGACAATGATGCTTATAAGACCTCCTCATTTTTATTTCTCCCCCTTACAAAACAAGGCAGTCACTTCCCAAGCTAGGCTACGTTGCCATCCAGTCAGGCCCAACCACACCTCAAAAAAGCTCTCTGGGCGGTAAATTTTCAAAGCAATCTTTGAAGCTAGCCTTTCACACAGTCAAGGAATGTGCTCTGTCATGAAAGTGGTCTATTTCCCAGCCCTGGAAAATCCCCTTGTTCTCAGAGGCTGGGTAATATGCAGTTTAAATCATGTCACGGTGCTCCTGGACTAGAAGCACTGAGTGTTCAGCTAGTCTTATCCGTAAGCAGCAGTGCTGTTTGGTTATTGGTCTAAAACTTTGTAAGCTGATATTTATTGAATGTTTGGTACGTGCCTGGCGCACTATGCTATGTGCTTCACATGTATTATCTCACTGAATCCTTACACAGGTCTTATGAGATGGGTCTTGTTATTATCCCAATTTTACAGACGAGGAAACTAAGACACAGGAAACTCAAGTAATTTTCCCAGAGTCACACAAACACTTTAAAGGACTGTAAATGGAACCTCGTTTCTACACTTAAAGCAAGGATTTAAACTGAGTTGAATTCCTTAAGTTAAACAATCAAAGAATTCCATTTCTTTTCCTCAGACGATGTCTGGCGATGGACTCAAGTGAATTTCCCATGATGCTTTTTCACTGCTTAAGCCAAGACGCTTTTTCACCTTTCATTCTGGAGCCCATAATTTTAAACACTATTGGAAATGTAGGCTAACTACAACTGAAAGATATGGCCATTCAGTTAGGGAAAAAATCATGGTCTTATCAAGAATGCACCATCATTTTCAATGTATTTCTTTAGAATATCATCTCAACTTGAAATGAGTTTGTCTTTTCTGTAACAAGGTTGTGCAAGGTTGTGTATTGTCCAGGCCCTAGTTTGTATCACTTAGAACCAGAAAGAGGTTATTATCTGATAGCTTTTGATCAACAATCTCCAATACATGCAGATATCTACATCCCCCTAAGTGCTGATGGGTCTGCAGCTCTGTCCTTGAATTTCTCACTCTCACCAGCGCTGCTCGACTCTGCTCAGTGAGCCTGCAAATCATACTCACGCTTATTTTAGAAAACACAGACACCTGTCACCAGTCCAGACCTCCTAATACACCATCTCCAGAGCTGAGGCCTGACCATCTGCATTTTAAAAAGAGTCACTGAGGACTGACATGAGCCAGGGTTGGGAACCACCCCTCTTCCCACTCCTCTGGGTGGTCTCATCCAGCCTGTGGTTTCCAACGCCATCTGTCTCCAGCCAGGCCTCTCCTGAGAGCCAGGCCCCTCACTCCAATTCTCTCCCCTGGACAGCTTCGTCTGGATGTCCCATAGGCACCTCATATGAACCTAGCTGTAGGGCTTTAAAAGGGTGCCCTTAAAAAGTAGCCCTCTTTTCCTGACTGAGATTTGAACCAACTGAGAAATTAGTCCAAAGTCAGCAGTGCAAAATATTGCCATTATTATGTAAAAGCAGTAATTTGGAGACTAGAGATTAGCGTGGGCTTCCCAGTTTCCTGCCTCCAAGTGCAGGCCACCCAGGAAATCAGAAGAGCAGAGATGACCAGGCCATTGACCCTCAGTGGGTAAGGATGGAGAGGAAACAGAAAAGGACTGGATCCCCTCCCCCCACACACTAACTTCACCCTAAGAATTTCACCCTAAGAAACATGGACAATGGCTGTTGACCACTAACCAGGTAACAGCTCCATCTCAGGACAGGGCTAAGGACTGGGCAAGAAGCCAGCAGCATTTAGGAAAAGGTCCTTCTTCACAGAAGCAGAGGAGTGCGGAAGAGGCATCTGCCTCTGACAGTGTTCAAGCCAGAAATCTTAGAGCCATTTCGTTGTCCCCACTCCCACATCTAACAGGGAGCAAGTCCTGTCCTCTTCTCTTCACCCACTCCTACTGCGTAACTGAGGCTTTACAACCTCTCAGCCCTGTTACCGCAAGGTTCCGACTGCTCTCCCGTCTCCAATCCAGCCTGGACACTGCAGTCAAGTGATCTTCCTCAAATGAAAACCTGATCACATCACACACAAGCTTAAAATGCTTCAGTGGCTCTGTATTCCTGATAGGTGTTAAAAAAAAGTTTTGTTTTTAAAGACCAAGAGGCCAAAGAGCAAGCTATGAATGGAAAGGTTTTGACTGCCAAATGTTGAGTTTAGGCTCTGGACTGTGAGTTCAGGGAGGAGAAACGGGGTGGATCTTGTAAACCACAAGCCCTCGAAGTGTCTCTCCTCTGTAGGAGGAAAGCAAAGCCCGAGCAGTGCTGATGCTGGCGGTGTCTGGGCTCACTGGACCAGCTGGGGTGATTCCCGCTGCATACATGGAGCCTCCATCTTGGAATTATGGCATCCAAATGCCTCATTTGGGACTATGGCACCCAGTTGTTATTTTAGTGGAAGTCAAGACAGCACCACTGGCAATGAGCTAGGAGGCTAGGGGGTCAGGTCTTGCTTTGTCACGGGGTCAAAGCCAACTTCCTTTGCAGGATGCTGGAGGTCTATGTGAGCAGTCTCTCATCAGCCTCAACTCTCAGTGTGCCTCCCACCCACCTGCTCCTTCTATTGTCAGAACCTGAAGCTGGAGAAGCTGACTGGCTGCTTAATACCTCCAAGCTTTGGCTCATGCTGTTCCAGCTACTGGAATGCCTGTCCTTCCCCATCTGTGCCTGCCTGGAAAACTCCCAGCTATCTTATTTTAAGTAAAGGTAAGATACACTCTATGACCCTTTTCCAGTCATGCCTCAGGCAAATTGGCCGCCTCCTCTGCTGAGCCCTCACCGTACCCCATGCAGAGTTCTCTTACAGAACCTGCAATTTATTATACTTTTAGGTGTATGTCTTCCTCCTCCTGTTAGTCTGAAAGCAACCTTAGGGAAAAGACTTTGGCTGATTCTGTTCTATCCTCAGTGCCTAAGTTCTGATAGGTACTTAATAAATCTTGTTTGACTAAATACTCTCTGAGCCCTATGCAAAGCTAATTTAACAGCTATTAGTACCATTAAGAATGTGCTAGTGATTATCAAAAGTCAATCTTATCCTAAGAAGTTCTTGGCAACACAGTATCATCTGCTCAGATTTGCTTAGGGCAGCCAATTGCTAAAGAAATAGGAGCACAAAATCTCCTCGGCTCAGTGAGAAAGTTTCCAGCGGGAGATGTTTTCTTTCCTCCAGCTAGCAAAGTCCCCCGGAAATATAGCCATGGTGACGGGAAGCAAAGATGTGTAGGGATGAAGGCAGAAGTCTCAGGCTCCACTCTCTGGGAATGGAATGACCACAGCCACCTAAATGTCAGTTCATTTATTTGAGTCTGCAAGTGCACACTCAAATGTTTGCAAGGTGAATTAAGGACCTCTTTCAGATTAGTCTGGTAGTTTATCAATCTGAACTCTTTAGAGCAGTGACAACCAGAATTCTCAATGCACCCACAAGATGCCAACGATTCCCCTAAAATAATCATATATGATTAGGTTATAGCCAGTAGTTTTAGCATTGAGTGTACTGTCACATTCTCATTCATTCATTCGCTCATTGGAATATTCAGTAAATAGATTCTTACAACTTTACCACATGCAGACCACAAAGACAAAAGTAAGTGGGAGATGGGAGAGCTGAGCGGGATGCTAGAAAGGAAAAACTGTCTAAAGCACTTTGTGTCAGTTCTACAAATGCATCATCACTTTCTGAGGTATTACGAATTCTCAGAACTGCAGACACACACTCAGATATCCATACAGAGAATACACCTGAAAGTCAAACATAGTTTTGATTCTCCATGTCAACATCAGCCTGTACAACTAGAAGATGTTTGCATGACATGTTGACACCACTAGGGAATTACCAAGTCTCTCTGTAAGCGGGGGTTCTGCCCATCCCACTGCCTCTGGTGGGCCCTGTCTCGGCACTGGGCCAGCAGACAGTGCTTTATATGGTGCCATCCTGATACCCACACCCCACTTCCATAATCTGATAGTTTATCATATGATATTCTCAAAACTCGTCCACAATTCTATAGCTGTATCACAGGTAATGAGTGAAAAAGAGAGTAGCCTTTGGTTGATGTCTGCACCCAGCTTTAATCTTTTCTCTAGTAGGCTTTGCTTGTGCAGATATAAATTGTGCACATTTCGGCTGATGGCCCAGAGAAACAGAGCTGATCAATAAGCTATACAATGCATATGTTCTAATCTGTTGCTATCTCTGATTCTTATCCATGCAATAGTGAGAATTTGATTGTATGCCTTCAGCATTTTGTACAGGTAAGGGAGAGCTGAGCATGGCAGAAGGCAAGGGCCAGCATTTCTTTGTTAAATAATCAAGTTCCCTTTAAACAGACCTATCTAAAGTAAGTCAATAATTTAAACTGAATTATGTAGCCACTCACAAAAATGATCCAATATTCACCCCACTCACAAATCCAGGGCCTCACACTTTTCTCTCTTTACTTAACTCAAAGATCTTTTTTCATTTGGTGATTTACTTGAAAGACCTGTTTCACCTCCAAGTTTTAGAGCCTAAGAATTTAATTTTCAGTAATCCATTTAAAACATTCTCTTAACCGTAAAATGATTGCAACCCGTAGTTTTGTTACGATGGCAATCCTACTTTCCCATTCAATTTATCATCATAATTGCCTTGGTTTTCAGAGAAACCTGACAGGTTATCTTTAAGAGGGCATCAAAGTTACGCAAGAGTGAAAATGTTCCGTAAAGAGCAAAACTTTTTAGATTGAAATAATCACATGAAAAAAGGAAGTGATTTGGGATTTCAGTTTACTTTCCAGGTTTTACAGCATAAAAAATTGCAACATGTAAAATGTTTTACAGTTAATTGGGATGGGGGACCCAAAAAAGAACAAAATAACTTAGACGCCAGGTACACTATGTCCCTCATAGACACTAACACTGTTACTACTGTTCCAAGGAGAAGACGTTTCAAGCAGACACTTAGGAATGCATGTACATGTACGTGTGCAGACAGTTGCTGCAAGTGTAATTCATTCATTCATTTTTTTTTATATGTTGGAAATGACTCAATAGAGCCCACCACCCAGTTTATGCAGAAAGTCACACTCAGACTTGTCATGCACAGACAGTGATTGTGACTAGAGGCTGATAGTCACAAACTGCCCCTCCTGGTTACGAAGTGCAGGATTAACTAACAAGAGAGACCACCAAAGACACTTGGCCACATCTTTGCATGATGGTTATGGCTACATGAGGTAGAGACAGATGGTTTTGTCACTGAACTTTCCAGGTTGATGCTGGATTATAAATCCAGGAATGTAAAGTTCTTTCAGCACAAAAGTGATTATCAAATAAACTTTTCTTGAATAAGTGCTGGCCCAGACTTCTCTGGCCTTCTCTCTAGCATCTTTGAGGAAGGGTCAACCACAAGGCAGGTTACACGCTCCACCCAAGTGAGCCAGCATCCGGCATCCCCTGCCCCAATCTCCGCTGGTGTCTCACACAATGCAAAAGCTGTGCTCATCAACAGCTGCTTGGAAATCAAATTTGGTTACTCATGTCATAATTTAGGGGTCCCAGAGGAGTTTGCTATTTAAAGCCTACGGTGAATCCCTTATAAAAACACGGAATTATCAGCAAAGTTTGGATTTTCCTATGTTGTTGTTTTTTTTTTAAGAATGATGAACACCACTAAGAGAATATTCCTGTAACTGAGGGGTGCTGGCAAGTGAAAAGCAACTGCCACATTTTTCCCCCTGGCCCCTGGGATGGCGATGATGTGTAACTGTCTAAATTCCCTACAACATGAATTGAACTAGACTTGTCACCTGCACATCAGATGCCCAGGTCCCCTCAGTAATTCCCTGAGCAACAGTCTCTGGTCCTCACCAGCTTTCCTAGGCTGAGGGCTTTGTCGGGGTGAAAACCTCCTAAACGATGAGCTCCTTCAGAATGAAAGGTCACGGTCATAAGGGAAAGCTCAGATAAATATAAGCGAATACAAAACCAGACAGCTGTACATTCAAATATATTTATCCAAATATTATTTCAGTGCCAAAAGAAGTATCAAAGACACTCAAAATAAAGGTGTCAAAGACACTCAACCCCTGGGGGGTTGTCACATTTTTCCCCAAGGCTTAAGAGTGTTTTTATTCCACTAAGACAAGGACAAAACACTGATGTTTTCAAGCTGAGAGAGACATGAATTATAGATTCTTAGCACCATATTGGAAGTAACCGTTCACTGTGTTGCTGCAAGTATGAGAAATCTGTTGTGCTGGGGAGACTTTAAAACAACCCATTAAAGAGATTTATTTTACAGGTGAAACAAAACTAATTGGGTTATCTAAGTAGGAATGGGACAGGCCTGGTAAGAGGGACTCAGGGTCCTAAAATCTAATTCTATTCAGGAGTTGTACATTTCTCACCTACCCTTTGGAAATCCGTCGTAATTCCTAGTGAGCAGCACCTCCCCTTTCCCGTCCTCCGCTGAAAGCAAACAGCAGGGGAGAAAAAGGTAGTCTATGCACAACCGAACTCAAACTTACAGACACTGCAATAGAGGAAAATAGTGTTTTCAGTCCTGGTTTATGTCTGTTCTGTTAAAACTCCTGAGGGCAAATGTGGGGAAAAACAGTGGGATGCAAAGTGCTTGCGGAGAACACAGATCTCAGGGATGGACACTGGGACTCCAGTTCCAAACGACCCTAGGCTGGGCCTGTGGGCTGTTCCTCTCCCACCCCAACCAGGGGAAGCGGTTGGTTGGGGATAATGTTGACAAAGCACCAGGAAGAAGCTTCCTCAGCTAAGGAGGGGGCCAGGTCAGTCCCTGCACACCTCCGCCACGTGCACACTTGCCCCAGGTCCACACCTGCCCAAGCCAGGAGGGTGGGGGTGGAGGACGGGAGAGGCAAAAGCAAAGGGAGGGTGCCAGGAACAACAGCATTGGGTCTGTGCAACACTGGCAAGATTGGTTTTCCTGGGGGAAGGGGGATTCTCAAGTTCTTTCCATTGAAAATCCTAAGAAATCAGCCAGCACGGTGGAGAAGCTTCTCCTGGGTCCACACCTCTGGTGCAAAGCAAAAGCGAACAAACATAAGCCATTCCACCTCTGACAAACCCCTCGCTCCAGGCTCTGATTCAAGGTTAAGTGTCCCCAGGTCCCTCCTCCACATCCCAAAATGCCAAATCATTCAGAGAATACCTCAAGGTACAGTGACTGAGGGATTGGAAGCACACATTAGATTTGAAATCCCATTTAGTGGCCATGAGACCTTGGGCAAGTCCCTCCCTCTCTGATCGTCCTTTTTCTCACCTGAAAAATTGAGATAACCACTACCCTAAAGGAATCCACATTCTAGAACAGTACCTAACATACAATACCTGATAAACACGTGTTAGTACCCTTCTCTTCCTTCTTTGACCAAATGTTTTGTCAAAAAAGGGGTCCAAAATATAATTTTCTGAGCATCCTCTTGGTTAAACTCAATACAGCGATTTCGACGTAGTGTCTAAACGACCTCAATTCACTACCACGTTGACCACCATTCAAGAACTGTGCTATGGGCTTAAGAACAGCTCATTTTATTTATAATGGAATATGACCACAAGGTTACATAGTAGTAAATTCACAGTAGTGATTTATTTTTTTTGTAACAAGATCCATAAAGCACTTTACATCACTTTACAATCGCAGGGTCTGCTGGACTATTTAAATATTGTTAACATTTCTGTGCTACTTTTAGTAATCAATCTTACTTTTTATGAAGCTCAATTTTTATTATATTGAGAAATACAGATTAAGGCTTCCGGGGTGATGAAGTTGGAGCAGTAATTATCACAGAACTTGATCTTTCTTTCTGTTTCTTGCTATAAGGTCCTGAGGCAAGAAAGAGTCTAATGGACCTGCCTGCAGGACAGCAGGCTCTCCAGAAGACATTTCTGTGCTAAAGCCACTTACTCCTGGGGAGAAGCCAGTAGAACTGAGGGAAGGGAATAAAGGAGGGGAGAGAGAGGTAACTGGCTTTAGAGTACCCTCCCCAAAGATGAGTGCCGTTAAGAAGTCTCTCAAATATAGGGCATGCATGGAAACACACACGCTCACACTCACCCACATCAACACACACGCAAGTCATGTGATGATACACACCCATCTGCCACAGAGAACACAGATGTTCGGATGTCGAACATAAACCTGCCGTCCATCTGTCCATCTGGTAACCACACTCGGAGAAATGCTCACACGTACAGAAACACATACTCACACACAAATAGCGACTCCATTTAGGAAGCCTTACACAGCAGGGCCCAGATAGAAAAGAGTAAGCCAGGGACCCGATTTTGTTGGTTTCACTGAGGGACTGGACACTCTCCCCACCAAGGGTCGGGGGTGAGGAGGGGCAGGGTAACCCATTTCTGTGGGCCCAACAAGCTCGCGGCTTGCCACCGAGCTACAGCCGTATCTAGATGCATGCACGCAAAAGTGAAGAGGAGACGCAAGAAGGAGAGTCCTGGTCCACCACCAAGGATGGCGGAGAGGGGAGCACCTCTGCCCTGTCCAACACACACCAGCACAGCCACAACCTCCCCAGCAAAGAGGTCCAAGCTCTAGCAATAAGCTGCAATGCCACACACATACACACACGCACACACACGTGTGCGTGTGTGCGCACACGTGCCTGTGCCACCTACATATACCCATTAGCTGTACGGACTTTGTCCTGGCCGTAGATTTGAAAAGGAAAGACAGAGGGGGAGAAAGGGAGATGACAGTTGGGCAAAAAACTGGTCAAGCCTTTTCTCTGGGGTTTGTAAGTTGCAGCGAAAGTATTACACGTTTTGACTTAACTGATAACGCGAAGGATGGATGAACTACAAAACCTTAAAATTCCTTCCAACTCTAAGAATGCAGACTTTTTAAATTTTAACCTTCAGTTCACGGGCGATTAAAAACTGTCATTATCTTCAAAAGGACACACTTAAGAATGAAAGTTATCCACTGGCGAAAACCTTACCAGGGAAGGGAGCCATCTCAGACACGCACTCCTCATTAAGCTATTCGAGTCTGTAACATTTACTGTTCACATTTTAATAACTTAGGTTGAAAGTCATAGAAAATCTATAAACATTTAAGGCAAACGAAATCCTGTCTCCTCTGATGTGGACATACCATATATTCTACCAGTCCTCGGGCACTGTTTACCCCTTTTAAAAAGAACAGCCTCTTGGTTCCAAGAACTGAAATAAAAACGCATTGTGTTCAATCGTGTGACGCAGCTTTCTGAAACCTTAAATTTTTTAAACGTCATTTACATTGTTCCCACTGCACCGGTAACTCAAGCTATTAAGAGTTTGAAAGTGCAAAGGCTTTATACAAAGATCCTGCATTTTATTTTGTTACTCTTTCAAAAAGGGCTCAATACAAAGTCAGTGTAAAAAAAATCGATATTCAATTTAAAACAGAAACAATAATTTCATAAAGTTTGACATTCCCCTATGCAAAGACTGGGAGAGAGGGAAAGGGGTAGAGATAAAATAAATTCTTTAATTTAAACCTTTCTTCACCCTGCAGGGAATGCACGCACCAGAGCAACGAATCCAACTTAACCCCTTCTGTCAGAGAGGGCTGGAAGCACAGGATTTCCAGACGTGGACGAGCAGTGTCATTATGAACTGTATGTTCTATATATGAACTATACGAACTATTTATGGCACTTCCAACTGCTGTGTTCCTGAAGCAGCAGTCTCTGACACATTTATCTGGGACACTATAACATTTATGCAGCCAAAGTCTCATACACATCCACCATCCCTTGCCCCATCTCCCAAAATATATTTCCTGAGAAAGATATCATCGTAAGGAATGTCCAGTTTGAAGGGACCTAAAGGCAAAAACTACAGAAAACAAAAGCACCATGGTTACATGGCATGTGTTTTTCATAAACAGAACCATGTAGCTAAATAGAACATCTTGGCTCCATGCCAAACTGACTTGTTTCTCCTTCTTCTTTTCCAACACATCTTCCTTTTGAGCTGAAGCCTGTTGATTCAAGAATGCTGTTTACTTTTGCAGGTACAGGTGTATTACAAACATCCAAAGCCAATTTTGATTATAAAAAATGATAGACAAATCTGTACCACTTGAGGAATGCATAAATCAGTAAGGGAACATGTGAACACACAGGTGCAGAGCATTTGGACAGTGTCATTCTTTCCTAAAGCAAGGTAACTGATTACTCTAAATACCTGGGAAAAGTAAGAGTGAATACTTTGGAAGGGTCTGTCGCGGATACAGGATGGCAAACAGAGGCACAGATGGCCCGCCTGGTGTCTGGATGTGGCTCCATAAGGAGCTCCCCAGAGCCCGGCTCCGCCAGGATGGCTCCTCCACCCACAGCCCGGCCACGTGGGCTGCCCCAGGCCAGGGGAAAGCCCACTAGAACCAGCTGCAGTAAGGAACAGATCACGGATGAGTGCTCTGCACCATAAGACTGGCTCCCCACTTTCCTTTCCCCAAGCTCTGCAGCTTGTCCATTCCTTCTTCCCACTTTACCAACAACTAAAGTAACTGCACCACCAGGGGCCGAACAAGCCCCCATCTGGGAGCAAGTGGTGGAGGTGAGTTGCACAGTGACGGTGGTGAGACATCAGGGAGTGGGCGGCTGCAGCAGCGGGTCTGTATTGTTTGGGTCTCCCTCGGCAGGGCAGCTTGCTACGAAGCTCTGCGAGAACTGATCTCCCTGGGAAATCAGAGGCTCCACGCTGAACCCGCCAGTCTCAGTCACAGTGTAAGTCTCGCTCCTGCTCTGTGTGAGCAGTGAGGATGACAACTGGGAGGAGAGGGGCCCCTGTGCGGCCCAGAAGGGACATTCTAGTGGCTTACTCTCCCTGTGTTCTACCCCGTGGGCATTCCACAGTTCCCTATGCAAACAATCTCGGGACCCAGCGGAGGCCGTGCACAGAGCCCGAGGGCACATGTGCAGAGCTGGGTCCCAGGCAGCTCTGATGGCTGGGCTTCCCTGGCCAGCCTGCCAGCCAGGTGGGGGTGTGGCACGTGCTGGAGAGGGCGGGATGGGGGGAGAGGGGTGGGCAATCACAGGGTTAGGAAAGGGCTACCTGCTCAAGCCAGGAGGGAAGCAGGGTCAGAAACAGGGCAGGTGGATTTTTCTCTTTGGGAAGAAAATAAAATCATTAAGAGCTGTAAACTGATAGTGCACATTTTTTGTTGTGATCTTTCTCTGCAGAACCTAAGGCAACAAAGAACAAAGATGAAGGCAGGCATTTCCCGAATGGCCCGCGGCCCCCACGGGCGATGTGGTACTGGACACTTACATACACAAACCCACATGTGGACACGTCGTGTCTAGTTTCCTGAAACAGAAGAAAGATGTGTCCCCTAGAAGATTAAGAGTGGGTCAACCAGAAGCAATGGGAGCGCGTGGTGCTGGACGAAAGGCAGGGACTAGTTGTTGTAAGGCGAGGCTCCCAAGGACCGCCAGCTCTGCTTTGGTTTACAGCTGTCACAGAAACGCCAGGGAACGGCTTCTCGAGAAGTCCCATCCACAAGAGTCAGACGTCGTGGGTCACTTCTTCCCAGAGCAGACATCCCCCACTTCCTTCCAAATAAAGTGCAGATGGTCAAAGGGTACTGGTCTATCATCTGCCAGTGTCAGTCAGCAAAGAAGAATAATAAAAAACGATGCCCCTCTGGTATACATATATTTCTCTTTATATATTCTTTTTTTTTCTTTAATAAAGCCACAAATATAGAACTTTTAAACCGATGTCTCAGACTGTAAGCGAAGCACAAATTTGTGAGATTTGGGGTCTATGAACTCTTCAGAGAGTACGATGAATGGAATTTTCTTCACATTGACCACGAGGCTGAAGTCCAAGCACTTAAGGACGAACACGATTCCATCCCGTAATCCGTTAGTCACAGCCTCATCACTGACGAGTCTCCACTGCGTCGAGAGCCAGCGCTCCTTGTCATACTGCAGGGTGGGCCCAGCGCTGAGGTACCGTTCCAGGAAGGCCTGGGAGGAGAGGAGAGAGGCCATTAGGAAGAAACACTCGCTCCAAGGGCAGTGTTGCCAGGAGGCCCCCCTGTTCCCACACCTGTGAAAAATGTCTTCCCAAGAAACCCAGTCAGAGCCCAGCTTACCACACCAAATTCCCATCAGCCCCTCACAACTGAGTGCTTGCTGGGGAGGGAAGATGTCTCAGGTCCCTTTGCCAACTTCCAACCAGAAGGTGAAGACGGTGGTAAGCACAGAGGTGAAGGAGGGTGGGGTGGCTGCTATCAAGTCTGCCCAGAAGCCATCGACGAGGCACCAGCCCAGTCCAAGGGTACGGGCCCCAGTGCACATGCCACTGCTTGTCCCTGTTTGTAGGGCTGCCTCCTCCTACTCCGAAAGCTCCTCAGGGCAAGTCCCAGGCACAGAGAAACACTCCAGAAATATGAGCTGAGTAAATAAAGGGATACACTGTCATGCACAAAAATGCGTGCTCTACCACTCACGAGCTGTGTGACTTTGGACAAGTCAGTTAACCTCTCAGTAAGGGCAGATGATAACAGCACTAACTCCCAGGGCTGCCGAGGATGAAAGGGCACAAGGTAAGTACAACCAATGAGCAACGGTTATTTTACGTTGGATCGATTGTGCACACGGCAAGTCCAAGGGGTGGCCAGACCCACGTCCACCTCCCCTCTCACAAGTCCTCGGCTCCAGCAGGGCTTAGCTCCTTGGAGCTCTCTGACTTCCCCCACCTTCACAGGTGCTGCTCCTCCTGCTGAATGTGGTCCTTCAGCAAAGCCCTCTGCCCTTTAAATCTTCTCAAACCACTCTCTGAATCTCTCAGACAGATTAACATGGCCCCCTCGAAGCGCCTATAATCATTGGCATGACTCCTGTGTGACATTTTTACTTTCTGAACAATCATTGCCGACTTGCTTGTCTGCCCCCACACTGGACTTTCCTCTCCCAGAGGGCAGGACCTATTTTTTAAATGCGAATTTCCAATGTGCCTGGCACACACTAGGAGCTCAAGAGCATGTGTATTAAATCAAGAAATATAACACTTGAGCTGCAAGGAAGAAGAAAGAACAAGCCAGTGATACGATCAGAAAATATTAGGAGACATTCTGTGGTCCTGGAGGCAGGTCAAGGATGGTTTCTAAGCGGCAGCCCCTTCCATCTAGACCTCAGCTCTGCTCCCAGGTACCTTGTTTCTGCCCTGTAAGCATATGTCCTAAGGCAAAAAATAGAGCGGTGCCTCAACACACTTCTGATGTAAAAACAGCTCAACAATTAGAGAAATGAAATAAGATAATTCATAGAAGAATAAATATTAATGCAAAATTAACATATGAGATGTTCTACCACATTAATAATTAAAGAAACAGGACTTAAAATGAAAAGTATATGTTCCTCTTCTTATATGGGCAATGATTAAAAAGAGTGATCACACTGAATGCTGTCGAGCGTGTGGCGGAAATAAACAGTCTCCTACTCCAGAGGCACAAGTGTAACACAGTGACACCCTCGGAAGGGTAATGTGGCAGGATCTACTCCTTTGATCCAGCTGTTCCTCTACTAGAAATGTATCCTTCAGAAATTCTTGCACAAATGCACAAAGAAGTATGTAAGAAAGATATTCACTGCAACACTGTTTAGACCAGGGGTTAGCAAACTTTTCTCTAAGTGTAAATATTTTCGGCTTTGCAAGCTACACCCTGTCACTACGACTCAACTCTGCCTGTGTGGAGAGAAAGCAGCCACAGACGACATGTAAATAAAAGGGTGTGGCTGAGTTCCAATAACACTTGATTAATAAAAACAGCCAATTCCTGGTTTAAACCAACGCAAGATCTTAGTCCAAATGTGCATCAATAGCAACCAGTGAAACAAATCACAGTATCCATGGAAGTAAGGTCCAGCTTTAAAGAGAACAGTTAGATCTGTGTGATAGAGATCTGGGAATGCGGGCATGGAAAAACAGCCAGAGACAGCTTTAAGTGAAAAAAGCAAGTTTCCAAACTATATGTACGTGTGTGTGTGTATATATGATATGAGATCCCATTTCTGTTTTTTTTCCCCCTTATTTCTGCTTTAAACACACACACACATTTCCTCCGAAAGAATGCACACAAACTCCTTATCAGTCAGAACAGTTTGGTAAGGGAATGAAAACTTCACTTTGTACATTATACTTTTCTTTAATGTTTGGGTTTCTGCACAAAGAAGATTATTTTTTAATTCAGAAAAGTATACATTTTTTAAATGAAAAAGAAAGCAACCAGGAAACTTTAAAAAATTTTGAAATAAGGAAAACAACGGCCCCGTTCCACGTGGTAAGAGCTCTCCTTTGGCACAGGCAGGCACATGGCACTCATCTGAAACCACAATGCTCATACTTTTTCGCATTCTGCTTTTTGCAACTTAATATTCTAACAAAGATTCTTCTATGTTTCAACAGGTGATATAGCATAATTTATAAGCCTCTGTTCTATTTTTAAGTTATTTCCAGTTGGGAGTTCCAGATTATTTTTGCAAAAATCACCTTCATGTGCATTCACATATATCTGACTGTGCTGAATACTTTTTCTAGGAGAGGGATTAGGGAGTCAAAGAATATGGGAAACCTGATGGTTTCTTACTGAGTATTTCTGTACTGCTTTCCCAAGGGTTGTTACTAATTAGTGACCACACAACCAGCAGCTGTACAGGGCAATGTATGAACACTGGTCCCTATACTAACACCACCAGCTTGCAAATGTTCCATGTGTACAATGTGCCAAGCTCATTTACTGTCTACCACATGATTTACGTGTCATGTTGCCATATTTAATACAACTTTCACACGACAACCCTATCAGGTAGATACTACTATTACCCCCATTTTGTAAAAGAGGAAACAAGCATAGAGTTACTTACACAGTCACAAACCAATTAAGTGGTGGCGCCAGGATCTGAACCAGCCTCTGTCTGAGGAGAGGTCATCTGCTAAACCCTTGGCCACACCCCTCTATCAGATACATGGCCATTTCCCATAATATCCCTGAAAGTGTGCTTACATCATAATCCAAAAGCCATTCAGTAAAACTAACTCCATAACATCCAAAATGCCTAACGACGTGATGGCATCATTTCTACCGTTCATAGCAACAGCCGCTTATTCAGTCCTCACCATGTGACAGGCACTGTTTTAAGCACTTCACATGAATGAACTCTTTTAGTTCCCACAACAATCCAGGAAGGTAGGTATTAGTACTATTCCCAATTTACAGATTAGGAAAGTGAGGCACAGAGTCGTTAAGCTATGTGCCCAAGGTTTCCCAGCTGGTTGGTGGAGCAGCCAGGTCACAAGGAGTCAGCTCGGCTCCAGGACCCACAAAGTACCCCTAACTACTATCTATATGGTCTCCAAGTGAAAGTCCTTCTTATGCTTGAATCTGGAGGCCTTCAAAAGGCAGATTTCAAAAACGACTGTACCAAAACAATATAAAATAAATGAGAATCATTAATTCTTATTAGTTAGGGCTCTAGAGAAGCTTTTGACTTTATCACTCCCCATAAAACCCTAACCAGGACTTCCCAGGCTTGGTGACAAGCCGCACCTTTGGGGTCATGCTATTGGTGATGCAGAAGGCCAGGTGCTGCAGGATGCTCTCCATGCTGTGGTAGTGCTGCTGCCGAGTGGTGCGCAGGTACTTCTGCAGGGCCCGGGCCATGGAGGGGAAGATGGCCTGGGCGGCCTCCCTGGGGTCCATCACCTCTCCCGGGGCTTTCTGTTGCTCCTCGGCCTGGAGACGCTGGATGTGGATGAAGGCCTCCTCCACTGCAACCACCAGCCTGGAAGGCAATGAAACACAGCAATCAGGACGGCGCCTGGTGCAGGGCTTGAGAAGAGAGCAGTCAGAAGGACCTGGAGCGACTCCTGCCTACCTGCTGCATCCTAGCCTGCCACCAGCCCACCCAAGGCTCGCATCCTTAGCTGACACTCCAGATGGTGGAGAGGGGAGGGAGGGAGAAAGGAAGGCAAAGGTGAACACGTGGCATGGGGGCTATGGGTGATGAGGAAGGAGCCCTGGGACTGGGAGATGATTTCTGTTCTCAATTCTATCACTCATGACCTTGGGAGATTCACGTGGATCCTTTTCATCTCTCTGATGAAGGGTTAGATGAAAAGAATTCTAAGGTCCCTCAAACTCTGGCCATAAAAAGCTCTGCAGGCACAGAGAGGTGGCTGTGGTACAGAAACAGCCTGACAAAGAGCCAGAGGTGCATCCCCTTGGTCGAGCCACCCACACCAGCAGCCTCTGGGAAAAAGGAAGGAAGAGGCCCAGCACACACGATGGAAATCACCTTTGTCCACTTCAATTAATATAATCAGATCTTGAAAACTAGCAAGGGGGTGCAGGATGGGGCCATTAGAAGCATGGGCCGCAGGCCAGCAGCTTCAGCATTAGCTTGGAGTTTGTAAGAAATGCAAACTCTTGGGCTCAACTCCAGACCTACTGAATAGTAAGTGAGCTTGCGGGTGGGCCTGGAACCTGAGATCCGTGTCTGAACAAGCCCTCCCAGAGACGCGGACGCATGCTGAAGTTTGGGAGACACTGGAGCAGGATACACTCCAAAGGCTCACACAGGTCATGTTTATAAACTGAAACTTCATTCTCATGGAGAAAAAAGTGTCTACTACAAGAGGGTGTTGGAGCCAGGGGGGCCATATACCTTGCTCTCCGCTTCTTCACCCGCCGTTCATGTTCCGCCTCTTCATAATACAACTCGTTGTGGCTGGAGTCCCTGCGGCGAGCGGCCGCGGCGATCATCGCCCGGGACTGACCAGTGGCGTTGCTACTGGGGCCTTTTGGGAAAAGACAGAGGAGGAAGAAGAGTTTTAATGCCATGGGGTTGCGAAACAGAGCAGGAAACTAGGACCACAGGCTGTCAGTACTGTCCATCCTGTGAAGCACATACAGAAATCCCCAAAGTAACTTCCCAGGGGGTGAACAGTAACCTGCTCTGCATTCGATATGCTCACAAGAGGAAGGAAATCGCCCTAAACCCGAATTTGATCAGTGGAAATGGATAAAGAACCCAGAAGGAGACGAAGAATGCTCAATAATTAAAATGTTGGCCAAAAGTAGTACACAGAGTGTGCTCAAGATTCTACTTACCATCTGTTACAGAAAGTTTCAGTTTGGCCATAAGGGCAGCTGCTACATCACATTTCACCAAGAAGACAATGAGAGGGATGGGGAGGACAGGACAGAGGAGAAAGAAAGTCAAAGGCACATGGAGACATCGACCACACAGGAAAACAGGCCATGCTGGAACGTCATGGTAGCCATAACTTCTACAGAAAATACCAAGGCTTGGGGACTTGCAAAATGGCCCATTTATTAATACAGACTTAGAACTCCTGGTCTTATTCCCCTAACCACTTAACTTTTCAGAAAGTCAAGGCAGATCACATGCTTTCTTATGTATCACCTACTTGGCTAATGACTTGATTTTGCTAGTGGGAATTTTTGCTAAGTTTCAGATCACAGGTGAAATTTACTAATGCTACGGGATTCATGAGAGTGTGCACATCTCATATAGCCAAAAAAAGCTGCGGGGGAGGGGGGAGGATACTGCCACCAAAAATGACACTGTCTATAAATCACTTGACTTGCTAACAACATGATCCTCTTCTAGGGTCTGTGAAGCTCTTGCACTGACCCAAGGTGCCCAGGAAGAAATGACACGGTGTCCTGTTTCTTACACTTAACCATATGATAGCCTGAAACCCAGCTCTGATGTCCCCTGCCCGGCCTCTGGCCTCCTGCCACCCACTCAACTCCAGCTCTTAGCCAGGATTGAGAAATGCCTGTAAGTATCTCACCAGATGTCTGAACTACGGAGAGTTACAGTCTTAATGGGTTTGGGTAGCTGAGTCTTTGGGTAATTTATCCAAATTTTGAAAAGCAGTCCTTTCCTAATAGCTTTCAATATAAGATGTTCCCAGCAGGAGGCAGGAAACACACATCACTATTGTTTTCAATCATAAAATCCCAAAATGAATGAACCTCCCACATACGCAGACTATAAATCAACATTCCTCTGAAAATATGCTTGCCTGCAAAAAAAAAAAGAAAAGGAGAAAGAAATTGTTCTGAAATAAGAATGTAATATAAAGACAAACACTGAGAGGAGGTTGAACCAAATGGACCATAAAGTTTAAGCTAAACAGCTGCCCGAACTGTGCTCCTACAGCCCAGAGACAGTGTCTCAAGGCACGTACGTACCATCTACGTTGTACACTTTCAGCCCCGCCATGTGCTTGGCTGCTCGGAACTTGGAGGCTGTTAGGAGGTTGGGGTTATAGATGGTGAAATCTTTATAGTAATTTTCCAGAACCACCAATGCCGCTCGCTGGATACTGAAAAAAGAGGGCAAAATTAATGCAAAGCTTTTTCACTGAATAAGCAGGTCTTTAGGGATAAAAGTCCTCCTTTGGTAGCAGGCGAAATAACAAAACGCTGAGGACAACGTCACACAGAAGGCTACTGGCTTCAGCACACCTTCTGTCTCCAGGATGAGAATTTAAAATGAAACTGAGACCCGCCATCAAACGGCTTCTGTGCCCTCTCCCAGCCACATCCCATCTAGCCAATAGTTGAGAAAGGAGAAAGTTATAACTTATAACTTAGATTTATTCAGGTTACACAAAAGTTTCCTATTTAACCCAGTTTACAAAAGAGGAAACTGAGGACCCAAAAAAGGTCAAGAGACCTACAGACGGCGGCAGAGCTAAGGAGAGAAGAAGGAGGTGTAGATTCAAGTTCTCAGGTCCTGGGCCAGTTCCCCCTCCACCTCAGTGCCCTGGTGTGAGCAATGCTGGTTTCAGGTTTTTCTATAGATCAGAACTACAGCCGCACAGGCAGAGGACCCGTGAAAGGAGCCGGCCGCAGACAGTTAACCCAGATCCTCCTCTTCGTTCTATCCCAGCGACCCCAGGCCAGCTAGCACTCCCTCTGTCAGAGGAAGCAAGCCGCTTTCCCTGGAGCCCATGAGCCTCAGCTGAGATTTCCATCTTTCTTGGTCTACCGGCATCCTGCCCCTTGGACTGTTGTCTCTGGCCCTCAGGAGGGGTGTACAAAGGGGATCTCCCCGCCCTGATGTCCTGTGATCTTAACCTATCACCTGCTCGGCCCCTCAGAATATAGCATAGCAGAGAAGAGGTAACGCCAACAGGCAGGAGGCTGGATGAGGGAGGGGCCCACACTTGGGAGTGGCAGCAGCAGGACACACTCTTGGTCACAGATGCAAGACACCACTTCAAGGAGTGACTTGTAACAATACAGTACAGGTTTTCACATACCATCTCATTTGACCTCCATTATCATTCAAGGTAAGAAAATTGAGGTTCAAAAATCTATGACCTACACAACAGCATGTACCTACAAAACAGGAGAGATGGACTCCAATCTGGATTTGCAAACCTCCAATTTGTACTCTTTCCCCGTGATGTGTGGCCTCTGTGGGACAGTGTATATATGCGCTGACACCAACCACCAGTGTGCTAAACTCCACAAATTTATTTTTATCTTGCCCTTAATATTTTCTTTCTTAATCCCCTGCTAAGTAGATAAGCTTACAGGGATTATTTACAACAGCCTGGGCACCAGGACAGGGCTGCCCTCGATTCCTGGATGACCATACTGTGTTTCACAGCTCCCTGGGTGGCTAAGGGATCTTGACTGCACACCAAGACAAAGCAGCCCCTACCTATCAACTGGATGCTTTGTCAACCTACCCCTCAGCTCCCCTTGGGGCTCTCCCCTCGGAGTCTAACATGAAATCCAAAAATGATCCAGAAGAAGTAAGTTAACCTCCATGAGAGCAGAGCCATGGCAAAGCTTTCTTACTTATAGCCCAACAGCGTCTCCATGAGTGGTCTGCTTTCAGTTGGTGCTTGGTATCAACTTAGATATGGACGCTCACGCGAGGCTGGGGAAATCGGACGAGGCCAACCTTGCATGATGGAAGAATAAGATTCCTAAGAGTAAATCCACATTTTGAAAGCCCTAGTCATTCAGTTACTAGAAAGTTGCTCACTCCTCACTTTCCTATTTAAGCACCACGTCTGCCAAGCCCTGGGAATGCAGACAAGACGGAAGGAGCTGCTCCTTAGCCCGGCACACGTAGAACAGGATCCCTATGACAACAAACTGGAATGAATACACAGGGTTGAGCAAGCAGAAGAGCAAGGAGAAGAGCTCTGACTGCCCGGGGCTTGGGCGGGTGCAACAGCAGCCCCTGAGGAAGGGGAGTGGTCTCTGAGTGGAGGTCTGTGTGGCAGAGAGCTTCGTGAAGAAGTCCTCTCTGCTCAGCTGAGCCTTGCCCGGTGGGTCTCCAGTCAGCACAGCACAGCCCAGCTCCTCCTGGCCCCTCTGTCCCTGGGATTCTTCAAAGCAGGGCAGGCGCTTGTTCTCCACTCCATCAGAGGTCCACCCCAGTCCTCTCTCCGACAACACACACACAGACACGCCCTCTTCTGCACCTATCCCACCTGCCGCCCCCGGGGACCACTTTTCCATAGTCTCTGGGCTTTGTGAGACAAGGAGCCCCTCCCACAGAAACAAGTCTCAGTTCATGCACACAGACATGCTGGGGTGCAACTATTTCATGCCACACTCCTATACTGACATGGAAAGATCTCTAGGCTCCTGGATCCCAGCAGGAAACTCTTTCCCTGATCAAAATTTAAAAATTAAAAGGCAACTCAGAGGTTATTCTCAGTCTCATCTTCAAAGCAAGGCCTCTTGTGGTTGTTGGCTTTGGCTTTGCTGTTCAGCCAGGCCGCAAGGAGGAGCCCAGGGACTCACAGTAACTCAGACGGGACCTGCGAGGCGGGTGGGGGAACTGGATGGGAGCCTGGTGACCCTATTTCTCAATCCTCCACACCGAAACCACAGAGAGCGCACTGTGCTGCCCTTGGGAGGGGTGTCTGCCCATGCCCAGCTCCAGCAGGGTCCCTGTGCCAGGGCGTGCACTGCACACCCCGCCACCTTCCAGCATGGGCCTAAGCAGCGGCTCCGCACTGGGGCCAGTCCAGCCTGCTGCACAGCCCGCCTCCCACCAAAGCCCCGCAGCTTGGGGAGTGCTCGGGAGTGGGTGGGTGACACTGGACAGGAGCCGCTGACATTATGATAGTGGGTCTCACAGTCCTCCCAAAGCTCCAGAAAATTCGCTGAGAAAAACTGAACAAAGGGGAAAGTTCAGGTGGCGTTCTCTTCCTCCAGCACCATCATCTCAACAGAGGCACCAGAATGCGCCAGAACCACCGTGGACCTGGCCAGCCTCCCACGCCGACAAGCTGACTCGGAGCTGAAGGACTCTCAGGGGAAGTTTAGAAACGCCTCTGAGAGTGGTGCACGCCCTCGCCTACAGAAAACCGACCGTGCAACACTTGACACATCTAGCAATGCTGGGGCATGAGAAGTTCCACATAACCGAAAAGAACACACAACCGAAGCCCCCAAATTTAAAAAGAGATTTGGATTGAAATCCAAGATGCCTTTCTTTACCTTTTTTAAGAGAGTAAGCTATGTAATATATAATTTAATTCCTGTGGGTGACTCAGGATGATTATCACATGCATTAATTATGAGCTACGCCATGTACCCAACACAGTGGAGACGTCAGACCCCACAGGAGGCAGAGGCCACGTGTCCGCATGCCCCACGCTGCAGCGCAGGCGGAGCACTCAAGGCTGTTTCTTCCCATCTTCCCTATATTCTCCCTTACTACTGGCTATCAAAGTCATTCCTTGATGCTGTCAACCTACCTGCCTCTGGCAATCATCTTTCTGTCTCAAACACCCTCAACCTGGGTATAAACAAAGAAAAGGAGCTTTGAGGACCAAGTAAGGAGCTCTGCTCCAGATAAGTGATACCTGCTGTGGCACAGGAGTCTGATGTCTATTTCAATCCGACATCTGAGGTCTGATTCATTTCTATTCTGGCTCCCGATTAATGCTTTGGATTGGCTGAGTTTGTTAGATAAGTGACTTTAGGATAAAAATACCATACTACTAATATATCATTTGGGTTTCTAGTAAAAGAAAGGACAATTAAGCACCAACAGAGGGGACATCCTGCAGGGCACCCTGGCATTGGTCTATGTCCTGGCCCCAGCGTGCCAGGATGCAGGAGTACCCTTTTCCTCAGCCAGTGGCAAGGTTCAGTTTCTTCCTGCCTCTATTGCTCGGCATCCTCCAAATATGGCATCTTACAAGGCAAAAGCAGGACCAATTTCTTTTAAGAAGGCTTTTCCAACTCTCTGGTCCCCACTGACCCATCCCTTAACTCACAGCATCAACAGCCATCACACTTGACTTGTGAGGTCTCCAAGTGTGCCAGTCTCCCTCTTCAACAGGTGTGCCTGAGAGAGTCCCGCACGCACAAGGGACACCTCGTTGGACTAGACAGTACTCATTGGCTCAACTTGCTCTTTTAGGAAACTCTAGAGTTCCCACAGGTATAGGATCAGTCCTGAGTACACATTTCCTAAAACCACGGTGTTTCAGAGGCAAAAAGAGCCTCAGAGATGAACAAAATCAAACCCTTACACTAGTCCCAGTCTCCCGACCAGATCATCTCTGGGGAAGGAGGGAGGCAAGAAAAACCAAGTTGGTGAGAAACCCGCCATCTCTTTTGTATCATTGTCATATTCAGAGATGATAGGCAGGAACCTGACCAAACAATCCTTCTGCAGAAACTCTATGTCACAGGCAGGTGAGGCCTGATGACAGACTGTGGACATGGCGCCACCAAAAACTCATGGCAAGGAGCACTCTCCCAAGGTGAGCACTCTGAGCTCAGTTAATAACGCATCCAATACTCCCTCCCAGGTCACTAACCAGGGAAACACCCTTTCATAGCCCACGTGCATTTGTGGAAAACAGCATAGGGATACACACAGCTCTAAGAGAAATTCACTTGAGACCTACACATAGAAACACAAATACAGGTATCCCAGAATGCATAGGAAAAGACAACATGGATGATGGAATACTCAAGGTCAGAAAAGGCTAATGTTGTTACCAACGGGAAGGTAACCCCCTTAACTCTGCTTGGTGGCTGCTGGTCTAAACTTGAACTCATGGAAAAGACAGGGCAGCAACGGATCAGCACAAATGTCTGTGGGACTTCAACAGCCACATTTAAATTTGAAATTTACGGTCGATCATGTTGCCTTACTGGCCTAGTTTCTTTTCAGGACAAAGAGGGTGGAATGTGAAATGCTGTGGCCTTTTGTGTCTAATCAACCACAAAAACACTTCCAGTGTCGTTGACAACTGTTATACAACTGCCATGGCAACGGAAAAGAGGGGCTCGCCTTGTGCTGCATTTCTTAAACAGACTTGGAGAGAAG